TCAATTTTTTACTTCTTCATAAAACTGGAAGTGCTGGTCAGCCAGGCCGTGTGCTATTGATCGAAACAAGTGATAGTCAGAGGGAGCAACGTCTGGAGAATACGGCGGGTGGGATAGGACTTCCCATTTCAACGTTTCCAAGTATGTCTTGACCACTTTCGCAACATGGGGTCGAGCATTGTCATGCTGCAAAATCACTTTATCGTGTCTCTCGTTGTATTGCGGCCGTTTGTCTTTCAATGCTCGGCTCAAACGCATCAATTGCGTTCGATACCGATCGCCTGTGATTGTTTCAGTCGGTTTTAACAGTTCATAATACACTACGCCGAGCTGGTCCCACCAAATACAGAGCATGACCTTGGACGTCAAAATCACCGTTCTTGAAGCGTTGAAACCACTCACGACACGTTCTTTCACTAATAGCGGCCTCACCATAAGTATTTGAGAGCATTCGATGAGCCTCAGCCGCAGATTTCTTCATATTGAAGCAAAAAATTAAAACCTCCCGCAAATGACGAGAATTTGGCTCGTAAACTGACATTTTCAATCGAGAATAACTTTATGATGCAGACACAAATCGACTAATGTTTCTATGGGGTTATGTTGACAGATGCCCAAGTTTATTGTATGACGTCTATGATCTATTTATTTCGATCATCACTTACCGCTAAAGCCATCTATAGGAAAACGGCGGAAGCAAAGTTGTACATCTAATATATATATATGTATATAAAAAAAAATATATATATATATTAATATTGGGCCTTCAATTTGGTTCATGTAATGGTTTTTGGTTAGTATTTGTAATGTAGAATCATGAAAATGAATTATTCAACGTGTTAACTGTTAACTATTAATTGTTAAACGTGTTAATTAATTGTTAAAATAACGTGTCCAAACGTTGTCAAACATTATCATTGTTTAATGTTATCCAATACTGTTCAATCCAATACTGTTAATCGTTCAATGCTTTCCTTTGCTACATGAAATTGCACCTTTATGGTGAATCGTTATTTTTCAGTGGAAAAAATTGGAAAATATATAAATCCTCCCATATAAGCCATAGATTGAGCGAACACTACTAATTT